ACTTGTTGCTGGCACTTGGCACCAGGTGTTTAATAAATGTATACTGTGGGAAAAAAAAAAAAGACCTCTTCCTCTCTTCCGGCCCAATCCAAATGTGGGCCAAGGTAACTAGACGATTCAATCGATTCTGGTTTTGATTTCCTCCGGAGTCAGACCGGAAGCTAGCCGTGGTCACGTGAAGAGGCTAAGCTGTACACGTTCTCAGCTGGGGCGCGCAGACCCGCCGCGGGGACTGCGTTCCACAAGCCCCGCACCTGAGGCCCGCCGCGGCCCGGCGCACGCCCTGCACGTCACAGCCCCGCCCGGCCCCGCCCAATGCCCCGGCCCCGACTCCCGGCGACCCGGAAGTTGTAAGCGCGAACGCGGCTTTCCTTCTCCCACAATTCCTCGCGCTCTTCCTTTCCAGCCTGGTCCCGGCGCTGTGAGTATGGGCGGCTGTCCTGGGCTCCGGGCATCTAGCTTCATCCTCGTCAGTGACCGTCCTAATCCGGACGGCACGAGCTCTCCTAAGAGACCCAGGGCTCCGCGAGCTGGGGAGAGGAATTGGCGCTGCATTTTAGGGCCCTGGGGCTCTGGGAGGGAGGGTGACTAGGGGTGCCGGTGCCGCGGGGGCTTCTGGGGCGGGAGCAACCGAGGGGCGCGGGTGCTGGCCCCGCGGAGTGGCCTGGTCCTTTGCGCGGACGGGTCCGCGGCTGGAACCGCGCACGGTAGCACCGCGAGGACAGCGGCGTGAGCCCAGGCCCGGAAGGGGAACTCGGCTGGGCGTGCGCCGCTCTGAGCCTTCGTGTCTGGTTTTAGATGGCTCCCGCGAAGAAGGGCGGTGAGAAGAAGAAGGGCCGTTCGGCCATCAACGAGGTCGTGACCAGAGAGTACACCATCAACATTCACAAGCGCATCCATGGCGTGTGAGTACCCCAGGTGCCGCTTGCCATTTGGGAGGAGCCACTCGGGCGGCCCCCGGTTGTTAGTCCAGAGTCAGCTTAGTTGCTCAAGGGCTACACGGTCTAGATTTGGCTCCTGATTCAGAAGCACCATTGAAAGGATGAAAAGTACTTCTCTGAGATGAATTAATGGTCGGACACGTGAAAAGCTTATGGACCACTGTTGATACTCTGAACGTTGTTTCTGTGCAGTGCTTTGTGCTGGCTTAGACCTGCGTGGGTCACCTTGTGAAGAGCTGCATTCAGTTTGGGGAGGGAGGAGTGCTTGGTGGCTTAGTGGGTTATGTGTTGGATTGCTAACTGCAAGGTCAGGTTCGAATCCTCAGCGCTCCATTGGAGAAACGATGCTTTCTGCTCTAGTAAAGATTTACTGGCTTGGAAACCCATGGAGGCAGTTCTGCCCTGCCCTGTAGGGTCGCTACCAGTCGTCAGAATCGACTCGATGGCAGTTAGTTTCGTTTGTGTTTTGGGTGCGTGTCAAACAACTAACATTGTTGTACCAGGTACCATCTCGGGCTCTCTGCAGGCGAAGTGTGAATCAAAGACCCTGTCTTAGTAGAACAAGGCCTACAAGTATTTGGATATCAGTTTGGGAAAGGCTCCAAGAGAGTTTGACCCCAGGGTTGGGGGACTGGGTAATTGCTTTAAAGGCTACACAAATAATGAGGGTGAGCTGTGCAGGCAGCCAACAAAACAGAAGCGCCATCGTGTGGTCTTTCTTCCTCTTCAACTACCTGCTTTCTGCCTGTGTGCTTTGTTGGTTCATCTCACATGCCCTAATAGCCAGTCCTAACCTCATGCCTTCATTGTGAACCCCGAATTCGACACTTAGATATCACCTCTTAGTTGATGGCTCTATTGAGGTATTTGTTAAGCATCTCACACTGTACATGGTTAAGTCACAGACCCTTGGTGCCTTACCTCTCCCCCAGGACGGTTCTAGTTTCTGATAGTTTAGCACAGTGGTTCTCAACCTGTGGGTCTTGACGGGTTGAGTGACCCTTTTCACAGGGGTCACCCGATTCATAGCAGTAGCAAAATTACAGTTAGGGAGTAGCAACAAAAGTAATGTTATGGTGTGGGGGGGGGGGGGGGGGGGGGGGGGGCGGTCACCACCACATGAGGAACTGCATGAAAGGGTCACGGCGTTAGGAAGGTGGAGAACCACTGGCTTAGCAGATCTGCTTGCCTTGCCTTCAACTACATGTTGGGAGGCATGGGTCCTGGTTCCCATTTTTCTTTGGGTGGTCACAGTAGCAGCTTTTACCTCCTGCTGTTCACCGCCTCCCCCTGCCCCCAGACACTCGTGGTCTGTTCATAAAGCCTCATCAGGTTAGAAACTGAGTTATTGCTGGAGTCGCCCTGCTCTATTTTGTCAGTCATATTGAGCGTGCTTCTGTTTTAGGGGAGCTTGTTTGTTTTTGTTATGGCTGTCTGAATGTTTTACTCACAAATAACTGATTTACTCATCCTCTTTGCGTCTTGACACCATTGTCACTTTGCAGAACTTTCCTTGATCATATGTGCGGAATGGGATTTTTTCAGATATGTTAATTGCAGTTCTTTGTAGATGGCCGAGTATTGGGTGGAGTGAGCTTGGTTAAATGGATTCTAGGGTGGTGGAGAGCGAGCCAGGGGGCCTTAGTAAGAGAGAAGGTAATAGTCCTTAACTCAGAGAGCAACTACAAGCACACCATATGCAAAGTGGCGGGGACTGGACCATGTGATTTAGCCCTTGTCCCCATTGTACTTCTTGGGAGATAATCAGCTGTCACATTTGAGCCTCTGCTTTTTAAGCTTCCACCTTTTGGGGGGATTCTGCCACTGGCTATTTGACAAGGGGACTTACAGGCTTACTGTTCACAGAAGCGTTTGTTTCCAGCAAAGCAGTCATTTTCTCATGCTGTCAGTTTCAGAACCCCAAACGACACTAAAATGCACCGGAACCAGTAAACTGCCTTTGGAAATATGCACGATCTTGATTTATGTCTTGTTTAAATCTTAGGGGCTTCAAGAAGCGTGCCCCTCGGGCGCTCAAGGAGATCCGGAAGTTTGCCATGAAGGAGATGGGGACACCTGACGTACGAATCGACACCAGGCTCAACAAGGCTGTGTGGGCCAAAGGGATCAGGTGGGGAAGTTCTCTGTGTTGGGTATGTGGAGGGCCTATGCAATTTCTCGGAGTACAGAGTGAAAAACATGACTGACTGGAGGGTGGAGTAGCCATCTTTAAAGTGACATTTGAACCTGAAGGGCCAGCATTGTGTGTTTTGAGAGCGCTGGCATGGAAGCTGGATTGTAGGGTGAGCGGCTTGAATTCTTTGTCGAATCTTGGACAAAGAGCCAGCGTATCTTCTCGGCAAAATGGGTGGGTTTGCCCTGCAGGGGGGGGTGTCATATGTGGTCATCACTACTATGAGTTGCCACTGGTGCTCAGGGTTGTCATTAGGATGTCAGGACAGCTCCCTATCAGTTATCTGGCCTCCAGATGGTGACCATGCTATTGTGATGAAAGCCTTTCTTACAGTGTAGTGAGCAGGAGGGTGGTTGGTTCTGCAGTGGGATGACTTGGAGAGTGGGAAGGGACCTGAGGTTCAATGTGATATAACAGGTTGCTTATCTGGTAAAGATACCTATAGTTAGGCCACCATCAGATACAGGAGGTGTTGTATGAACTGGAAGTCCTGCGTTTAGTGGGCAGTGGCTAGTGTGTCTTCAGATGAGCCAGAAGAGGTGGTCAGCTGACAAGTCAGGTGAAACAGGATCAGAGGTTGTGTGGGTTAAGCTCGACTGTCATCGAGTCGATTGAGTCCTGGTGACCCCATAGGACAGTAAAGCTGCCTCTGGATTTCAGAGACCAGTCTACAGGCTGTAGTCTCAAACTGCTGGCCTTGCCGATCGCAGCCCCTTGCATCCAAGATAGTTGGGTTTAAAATGCTATTCCTCTGAGTGTACATTTAGCTCAGAAAGATTTCTCATAACAAGATTGTTTTGGTGGAAAAGGCTTTTGGTTTAAGTGATGGCTACCTGCTTATGCAGTGAACTTTCCAGGAAGCTAATAAACATTCAGAGTAAGTTCCAAGCTTATTTGGCTTCTGGCTCCCTTTTCATTGGCTGTTTGAAACTTGTGCTGTATAGCCTATAGCCCATGGTCCAGATGGTGTGTCTGCTTTGCAGCCACCTGGCATCATTCACGCACTTTGGGGAACAGTGGTCCGGAAGCTGGTTGGTCATATTACAGACCATTAGGGGCACGGTGGGCGTGTGACTGGTTGGTGGCTGTTTCTTGAAAGGAGACAGTGATGTTAGTGATGCATTTCTATTTCACTCAGGAATGTTCCATATCGTATCCGTGTGCGGTTGTCCAGGAAACGTAATGAGGATGAAGATTCCCCGAACAAGCTCTACACATTGGTTACCTACGTGCCTGTCACCACTTTCAAAAGTAAGTGTACTCGTGCCTACAGAGCTGTTTCATTGGGCTGATCTTTAATTCCATAATGGTGTGGGTAAACACTCAAGGATCCGTGAACCTGCGGTCTGTTAAACACAAGAGATGCCAAAGTAGTGATTGTATTTGGGCTGGAAGAACATAGAAGATGGAGAAGTGGTGCCTGCCCCCAAGCCTTCACGGGATGTTTTTGAAGTCAGAATTGTGAAATGAGGTATGAATGTAGGCACTGACTGGGTTTTTCTTTTGCAGACCTACAGACAGTCAACGTGGATGAAAACTAGTGGCTGGTTATCTAATAAAGGTTTCAAACTGCCTCCATGCGATTCAAGTTTTCCTTAAGAAAAAAAAATGCAGTGGGATAGGCTTGTGTATAGGTGTTCTATAAGTTTGTGTGGAAACTCATTTTCCTGAGTACGGATATTCCCTAAGCCCTGGTGGGCAGCGAACACTCAACCACCCTGTGAGCTGCCTCCCTCCAGAGGAGGCCAGGGAACCCTGGAGGCGTTTGTGTCCCAGGCTTGCTCGTGGTGAGCTGTAGCCGACTCTGGTGCCCAGCAGTACGCATCCGCTCACCATCGCTTCTGCCCCAAGAGCTTTCGTATTTGGGAAGTGCTTAAGCAGTACTTTAAGGCTGTTAAGTGCAAGCTGGTTTGAGAAACATTGTTCAGGACATTGAGAAATTGGAGGTACAAAAACCATCTGTAGCATCTTGAATCTATAGCATGTCCAAAGGCGCTTATAAAGATCATTCAAAAAGTGCCAGTAGGATTTTAGCTCAGGACATGCATGTTTATTCCAAACAAAGCATGTTACTGTACCCTCCATCCGTGGTTAACTACACGAGTTCTGTTACATGCATATCTTGTCAGCAGCCCTGGTGGCAGAGGGACGGGAGTTGGGATGCTAACTGCAAAGTCTGTCCAGAACCACCATCTGCTCTAGACAGGCTTTGGGAACTCGGCTTTCAGAACCAGCTCCTGGTGGCAGTGAGTGAATCCTGTTACCCAAAGAAAACATGCACAGACATCAGTCTGCTGGCTCGGCAGGATACGACTGCTCCTCTGGGTGTTGAGCCTCACTGAAGGGCATGGGAGTCCGGTGTCCCATGAAATGGAAACCCTTTCAGAATGTAGACCTAGGTGGGAGGAAATTAACCAATAGCTTTACGTTTCAGTATCGAGTCAAGGTTGACTGAGGCGCTGTGATGAGGGTAACGAGAAACCATGTGTGCTTAGCCCTGAGGGCAGTCAGTGGTCTGATTATCTGGGAGATCCTGTGGAGGTACTTTTAGTGGTACTTCGTAGATCCACGGCTCCGGAGGTAAGTTCCTAATGGATGGGAGCTGATGTGCTTTCAAATTCCACCCCGAGAGCTGGGTGTCGCTCTTTGTGAAGAGAGCCTGGGTGGGGTGTCTGTCCAGCTCATGGGCACACTTCAGCTGAGCCTGGGGAGGATAAGAACAGACCTTAAGCTCTGAAAGAAGGGGACCCAGTCAATAGAAAAAGTTCTTTTTACAAAATTTGAAGCCAACATGGAAAGCTTGATTTGTACACAACATTTTTGGAAGGACATACAAAGTGAAAAGAACCAAATATATTAAAATGGTTTCAATTACCAGCATTGAAACAACTTAGTGCAAAAGAAAAAAAGCCAAATACAATTGCACAGGTAGTGGCTCTTAGACCTTGAGAACAAACCTCACCCATCATTCCAAGTGTAGAAAGAGCCCGGAGCTTGTCTCAAGTCTGACAAACCAGACCCGGCTTCAGGCAACATCACAAACAAACCTGACAGTGGCCTTGCCAAGCCCCAGCGGTGAGTGCATGGCTGTGTGAGAGAGACCCTGTAGCATGGACAAGGCCCAGAGGATGTTCTTGAATAAATAGAGATGTGGAGGCTGTATATTTCTGGCCGCAGTTCCACCTGCTGGATTGCTTTATCCAGATACCTGGTTTCACTCCAAGGGAACTAGTCTAGAGTCTGGATTTTAGGGCTCACAGCCTGAGGAATGGCCTTGGCCTGGCTTTGGTATGGTGGCTCCAGTGTACTCCACCGCTACAGGTTGCTCAGTTTGAGTTCAGGCTGAGATTGGCGGCCCATTTCCCCAGTTTTGAGACTATACTGATTGATCTTCGCATTTTCAAGTTTGGATTTCATTTCTAGTGGCTTCTCAAAGAAGTTGACTAAAGACTGTTCCGTCAGAAGTGATGCTAAAATATGTTCAAGAGAGACAGTCCAATCCCCTTCTCTTCCTGCCTCAGGGAACACGTGGGAGTCCTGGGGAGCAGTCCCCTTGTCAGCAGGGGCAAAGACAGAGTCCTGGTCAGGAGAAGGCGCTGAAACCTGCAGGTCCTCCCCGCCTTCCTGGGAGCAGCTCCCAGAGCTGCTGCTGCGCTGCCCCACTTCCCCTATCTGGAGCAGGAGTGTGGTCACCGTGGCGATGGCTTGATAGAGCTCGTTTTCTTCTGGATCTTCGTGGAACATGCTGTACAGGGTTTTGCAGAACTGGATAAATTCTCTCTGGAATGAAAAGGAAAAGTTCATAATATGACAGCACAACCAAGGTGACCGTGGAACATGATCTCTAAAGAGCTACCCTAAGGAGTCCCTGCCCTTCCACTCTGCAACCAAGTCGGCTTCGCCTCGAGGACAGTGAGTCTGAGTGAGCACACCCTTCCACTGTGGAAACAGGTAACTTCAGGAGGGGTCATATTAGGTTCTGGAGAAAAGTGGAATGAAACAAACTCACAAGAGGGAAAAACAAGACCAAGTTTACTTGTTAGGCTGTGACCCTCATCACTAGAACTGCTCTGGCCTCTGGCTCAATTTTCACCCCGGCTGCCCCTGTCAGGTCCCTTAGGGAAGCACAGCACTTGTGATGTGTCCAGACCGCAGAGCAGTCTACGGTCTGAGGTAAAGTTCAGAAGGAAAGGAATGGAAACAAAGGAGGGAGCTGAGGGAGCAGTGCTGTGGATGTTGCCGTCATTCAGACAAAGCAAAAGTGTAAAAATTGTTGAATGAGAAACTGATCTGTTTCGTAAAGCTTTACCCAATTCACTATTTTAAAAAGTTTGGAGAATATGGTGTTTTGGAAAGGTGATCGAAAAGTGTCTTCACCTTCGCAGGAAGAAGCCTTAGTGGCAGTGTAATAGTTTGCACCTTGGGCTGTTTGAACCTACCAGCTGCTTTGAGAATGTTGAGGGTTTCTACTATGTACAGCGTACAGTCTGGGAAACCATGGGGGCAGTTCGGCTCTGGCCTGCAGGGTTGCTATAAGTCAGCACTGATATGATGGGTAGTGAGTTTGGTTTGTGGGGAGGGTTGGTTTCCACCTTCGCAGAAGATGTGCCAGACCCTTGAACCCAGCAAGTCAACCTTTAGAAATGCATCCAAATGGAAGTCAGTGGGAAGTAACAGGCACTCTGATTAAATACAGTGACACTATCCGGTGGGAATACTGTACCACAGCTCAGCAACTCCAGGTTTTAAGATGATGGAGATGGAAACTGATGCTCTGTTTTTTTGGTTTATAACACCGTCCCCACCCCTGCCTCGACTATAATGCGACGAGAGGATCAGAGCGGAGCTGGCTACACAGACTCTAGGACTAGAGCAAAAGTCGAGAACAAACAACATGATACTGAAGGACTTGGGGGAGACAGCCTTGGTTATTTTGAAGTAAATAAAAGGTAAATATTAAACAATGATCTACTCTTGTTTAAAGCATTACCAGTTAAAAAAAAAAAAAGATGCCGGTACACCAAGAAGTCCGCGATGATGCCTGAGTGCTGAGACCTGGAGTTCATATCAAAGAGATTGAAATCCAAACCCAACTCCCCAAGACTGGGACAGCATTTCTCAAAGGGGCATGGAAATAGAGATCCCACAAGTGGAAAAGAAGAAAAACAAGACACTGTGAGAAGCAGCACATGCTAAACCCCTCTTGAGGCTCAGTACTAGAAACCATAGCCCTAAAATAAAGGAATGTTAGCAACTTCACACTGATATTGTCCAGGCACTGGAAGGGCCTTGTACAAAAAGCCCACCACCGATCACCAGCACACAGAAGGTGCTCTGGTGGCATCATGGGCTACGCACGGAGCCGTTTCCAACACTGGTTGTACCACGGGGGAAAGATGAGAAAGATTCCGTCTCAGAAACCCAAAGGGGCAATTCTCTGTCCTCAGGGTTGCTATGAGTCCATCAGCTAGGTGGCAGTTTGTATTAGTACCACAGAACCCTTAACTAGAAATGCTCAGAAATTCAACGAAGCATATCAGGATTATATATCATGTAGTCAGTGGTAGGTATGTGCAGTAATCTTTTCTAGGGAAGAATGCTGTGTCCACAGCATTGGCTCCCAATATGCTTCTGTGATGCTTGGGCATATGAGGGGGCCTCAAAAAGTGTGTGGGAAAACTCCATTATCTTTTCATTCTACTTTCCCATGAGCTTTTTGAAACTCCCTTCTAAATCTTCACTACCACCTAGCAAACTAACTTTGATTAAAAATATTCAACATTAAGTGTGCTATAAGTTTTGAGTATCTGGTAGTGTAGTGGTTAGGTAGTGAGCTGCAGTCCTAAAGTTCAGCAGTTTGAAACTATCAGCCGCTCTCCAGGAGAAAGAAGGGGCACTCTAGTCCCATAAACAGTCTTGGGAGTCACAAGGCAGTTCTACCCTGTCCTGTAAGGTAACTAAGGGTCGGCACTGACTTGATGGCCGTGAGAGAGATAGCTATACCACAGTGTTCAGCTCCCAGAAGTCACAAGACTTGGGGATCCAGGGACTTGGCCTCACCCCAACACAGATCACTTGGCAAAGAGATTCATTCTTTGTGCAGATTGACCCCATACCTGGCTCATTTTGGGTAGCTCTTTCTCAGTTTTATCTTTTTCTTTGGCTAAATCCTTAATCATCTGCTTTAGCTGCTTCTGGTAGTCAGTTGCATCACCTGGAGGCAAAGGCAAAAGAGGGCATGTCACTTAATCTTCATAAGCCAAAGGGAGCAAAGAATAGGTAGCAGGCCACAGTCAAGGGTGCGGGCTTCCACTAAGTTCGTGGGGTTCGTGTTCCTCAGGGTTGCTATGAGTCCATCAGCTAGGTGGCAGTTTGTATTAGTACCACAGAACCCTTAACTAGAAATGCTCAGAAATTCAACGAAGCATATCATCAGGATTATATATCATGTAGTCAGGAACACCATTCAGCAGGAAGATCAGGAACTCGATGGGAAGTTGCAGGGGCGTTCACCTGGCCACATGTGAACTTGAGGTTTCTGGCTTCTGAAAGCCCTGTGCTCCGCTTTAACTCCCAGGAGGGAAGAAGGTTGGATAAGACCAGCACGGGGAGCGGAGGCTGAAGTCAACCGCAGCACTACATCCAACGGGAGAGGGGCAATGAAAGGTATACATGCCGTTTGATTTCCCAAAAACCAGGGGTCTAGATGTCGACAACAGAGGGCTCTTCAGTGGTGACTGGCTGTCTTGGTCATTTTCAGTGAGGGCTTTAGAAACAAAAGGAAAAAAATTAAATCAAGCAAGATTTTTTTTTTCTTGTCAAAATAGTAATTTCACTTTTTGAGGTAAAGCAGAACAGACGTCAAAACCTTGGATCTATGCTGTGGAGTTTGCTTGGTCCACAAACCCAAATGCAAACACTGGGCTAAGATGCGCACACAGAGCTGAGTGCGCCTGTCCTGCCAACGAACAATGCAGAAATTGATGAAAAACACTGATGGTGCTGACCTAGAATACATCAACACGCCGTGTGTGTAAACTTGTTCACCAGTGTTCACAGCAGCATTACACACACACTCTAGATATACCAAATCTCTGGCTATGTTATAGGTTATGATTTTAAACCTTTCCATAACACTTTTTCTAAAATGATCATGTACTGCTATACTGACATAATTTCTAAGAAAAAATAACATTGAAAATAGCTTCACTGAATCCCTGCGAGGGCATTTTAGGAGTTTTTGTGAAACCCGTTACGGCTACAGTTATCTTGCTGCCATGTGGGGCTATAAAATGGTACAGCCATGAACAGTTTGGCAGTGCCTTCCTAAAGAAGTTAAACACGTGGTACGGGGTGGTGGTGGTGGTGGAAGAGGTGCTGATACCAAGGGCTCAATAGCAATTACGATAAATGTCTAGAAAAGAATGATGGCAACATATGTACAAATATGCTTGATACAATTAATGTACAGATTGTCATAAGAGTTGTAAGAGCCCCCAATACCAGGAGGATAAGGGAAAGGTAGGGGGAGAAAGGGGGAATCGATCACAAGGATCAACATATAAAACTCCCTCCCAGGGGGACGAACAACAGAAAAGTGGGTAAAGGGTGACAAGATAATGTAAGATATGAAAATAAAAATCTAAATTATCAAGAGGGGAGGGGGGGAATGAGCTAATATTAAGGGCTCAAGTAGAAAGGAAATGCTTTGAAAATGATGGCCATATATGTACAAATGTGCTTGACACAATGGAAGAATGTATTGGTTGTGATAAGAGATGTAAGAGCCCCCAATAAAAATATTTAATTTTAAAAAAAGTCAAGCTCTTAATTACTATGTGAGCCAGCAATTCCACTCCTAGGTGTATACCCAAGAATACACCTGTATCTACACAAAAGTGTAGGTACATATTCATAGCAGTATGACCCATGATAGACAAAAGGGGAGATAATACAAATGTTCTTAAACAAAATGTGGACATCATATAATGGCTTATTATTCACTCATCAAAAGAAAGTTCCAACACATGCTAAGTGGATGAACAACAGCCTGCTAAGGAAAGAAGCCAGGCGCCCACCGTATCCACTCACTGCCAGCGAGGGCACTGACTGACAGTGACCCTACAGAACACAGCAGAAACTGCCCAGGTGGGTTTCTAAATCTGCAAGGTCTTTTGTTTTTTTAACTTTTGTTCTTAATGTGATATTTACAAAGCAGATATCACATTTACAATTGATACACATTTTGTTTCATCACATCCACTTCAATCCCTTCAAATCCTTGTATATGTTGAAAACTTTTCAGAAAGATCTCTTGGATGCAAAATAAGACGGGTCCAGCTGGCTCGAAATTAACTGTCAAAATAATACTCTAAAATCATATATCTTGTAAGCCTTGGGTTTTTTTGTTTGAGGCTGTACAATAGCACCAAATTATTTCTTTGCAAACATGTACAAATGGGAACAACAGGTTATGTATCCTATGGTTCCTAAGCATCACACCACTGATAGTTTCCACAGTTGACGTTGGTTTCTTCAAGGCCAGAAACCGTTCTGTGCCTGGGAGGAGTCTCTGGAAACCCAACTCGCCCTCCTTACAATCTCTTTCTTCAGAAGTCGTCAAATGTTCTTTGCCGCTCCATGTTGCTGCTTCATGTGAAAGATTTCACTGTAGTTGTACGACGGTACGTTCACTCTCCTAATTCTTAATAACCAGGGATGCCCAAGTTGACTCCATCTCTCTCAGTTGAGACCCAGCTGTGAGTTGCATGTTCTTTCACTGCCCGTCCACATCTTGACTATGTTTCCGTAACCTGTGGATCTCTTTCTGGGCCATCTTCAGTTACATGCACTAGCGTTTCATGATGCTTTCAGACATTGTACCCGTGCTGTGACATTCGTCCCAGATTCTCAGTTTGAACTGCTTGATGCTCTCACTGGGCCACACTCTCTTGTCACGCAGTAATGCCATCTTTCTGATCTGATGAAGGAGCTGGAAGCTTGTATCATTTCATAACTGACTAATTCCAGTGGTTGTCGAGCAGCCAATCTTTCAGATTCTTATTATGTCAGTTTCAAACAGAATAATGTGGGCTGTCAGGTAGTTTGTGGGGTGGCATCAATGAGCTTCCGCACACCAGGAGCTTCATAGCTTTAGCAAAATAGGGAAGCGCACCTACCGCAGCTTCTGCCACCACTAACCCTGCGCCCGCCATTACAGCCACTTAGTTTAGAAACTGCACATTCCTTTCCAGGAGCGGAAAGCCTCATCTTTCTCCTGAGCAGCAGCTAATGGATTTGAACTGCTGACCTTGGGATTTGCAGCCCAACTGATAACCCACTCACTACCCAACCAAAGCTCCTTCTAGACCAGTGCTTCTCAACCTTCCTAATGCCGCGACCCTTTAATACAGTTCCTCATGTTGTGGTGACCCTTCCCCACCAACCATAACATTATTTTCGTTGCTACTTCATCACTGTCATTTTGCGACTGTTATGAATCGGGTGACACCTGTGAAAGAGTCGTTCTACCCCCAAAGGGGTCACGACCCACAGGTTGAGAACTGCTGTTTTAGATAGTGTATGATAGGTCATGTCCAGATCAGGAAAATCTGACAGACAAAAGGAAATTAGTGCTTTCCTGGAGCTGAGGGGAGTTAGACAGGTGAGGTTCAGATGACAGCGAAAGTAAACGGTTTCTTTGTGGGATAAAGATAATGTTCTGAAATTGTGATGGTTATACAGTTCTATGACTACCCTAAAAACAACTGAATTGTATGGTTTAAATGGATGAACTGCATGTATGGTATGTGGATTATAGCCTGATACAACAATTACAAGAAAAATAATTATAAACTAGAACAGATGAACAATTCCCATATTTGCAAAGAATGTACTGAATAAATCAGAAGCAAAATTTAGTTGTGGGTCAACAAACACCCACAAGATGGCACCAAAGCTTTGCTGATCTGCCCTCTTAGCCCCTTGGGAGCCGGATTTCTGGGTGAAGGTTTTGATTTTTTTGTTTAGTGTTCCAAAACGAAGGGCTTAATCCACACTTCCATAACTTTGTCCAAAACAAGTTCTAAGCAGTGGTACAAACAAGGAGACTTCAACAAGCTCATGGAAAAGTAGATTTAAAAGAGAATGATTTCTTTCCCCCACCAGAAAAACCAAACAAACCAGGCTTACTTGGCAAACAGAGGCTCGTGGAAACCCCAAGAATGTGGTCCTTAGTCACCATTCAGGTGTGAAAATGAACTACTTATACTCATGGCTCAATTTTCAGTGAAACAATACACAGGTCTCTACGGGAATGAAGACACTGGTGAAGTTCGCATACCTTAGCATAATCAACCAGTAGAGATCAAAAGGACAAAGTTCAGAAGGGTCAGAAAGGCAAGAGATCTGGAAACAGGAAGCAGGGTGAGTTACACTGCGAGGAAAGCGATCACCGGTATGAAACAACCCGCGGAGGGCAGACTGCTCTGGATACACTCTGGCCTTCAGGTGCAGCGGGGACACCACCACCAAAGCATTCCCCTTCCACCAGGTTTCTTCCTTGCGAAAGTAGCGTAAGTGCACCATGGTCACTGGGAACAGCAATCACGTTATAGTGGCATGGGCCGAGCTGCATTCTGATTCACTGGGAATGCTGACACGTCCAAGTCAGTGCTGGGAAAATCAACTAAGGTATCTAATGGACCTCTCTCACACCAACTCTAAGGAAACTGCTGGAGGCAGGGCTCATAAATCCAATGTATCCGTGGCATCGGGCCCTTGAGACAATAGCAGGGATTGTCAGTGCCCAGCTTTACTTCTGCCAGACAAGGCTCAGTGCCGCCTGCTAATTCCCCAGGGGCTTTTCTCAGTGGTTTCTTCTTCTATACTTTGGTGTCTTTTCAGAATGCTCAGCTGCATTTTCAACCCAGGATCCCAATCCAAAGGCAGAAAAGGATCTGTCATCTGGCTGAAGCACAAGACGTGCCTGGTCTCGTGCTGACGTAGTTTGTGGCAGCGTGGTTGAATGGCAGTGCGTTTTCTATGGCCTTTGCAAGTGCCCTCCATGCGTCATCCCTTCTCGGGACCACGAGACTTCTCCACACTGGTCATTTGTGCTCTCTGAGGGACGTTCCCAACCGTGGCTGGAGCCATCACCCCGCTGGTGTTTCGTCCCTTCGTCATGGACACCGTTTGGGCCAGTGCAGGCACCGTTCGGATTCTTGGGTTTTCAACAGTATTTTGATGCACTTACGCATTCTTGAAAGGAGATGACAGAGAAATCTAATCTAGACTTGTTTCTTAGAAAAGCCCTCAGAAACAGGCTGACCAGAGAGTGAAGCGCCAGGGTAACTAGAACATCTTCCCTTTTCCTAGACCAGCACTTCTCAACCTTCCTCATGTTGCAACCCTTTCATACAGTCCCTCCCTCATGTTGTGGGGACCCCCCAACCATCACATAATTTTTATTGCTACTTCATCACTGTTATTTTGCTACTGTGGTGAATTGAGCGACCCTTGTGAAAGGGTTGTTTAACCCCCAAAGGGGTCGCAACCCACAGGCTGAGAACCACTGCCCTAAACAGACATGGGACACTCCACTCCCGTGCTCTGCAGCTTCAGTCCTACTGATGCTAAACACACACACACACACACACACACACACACGGCCCCTCCATCCAGACAGGCTGTGAGATTGATGGCTGCACACACGAGGAGTGCCAGCCACCTTGTCTGTGAGGACTTCTGACAGGCAGACCATGCAGGGCAAAGATCTAGGATGTTTCAAATTGGCAGGCTGGGGGTGGGGTGGGGGCGTAACCACTTTGTACCCTACCGGTTAGGAAAGTGGGTACACACTAACTAAATGAGCCTCCAGAGTACATTATCCTGCCAGGTGCTCCTTCAAGATACGATACCTAAATGCTGTTTAGCCATCAATTGTGTTCTAGGGATGGCTGCTGCTAGATAGGGAGTCCCTGGGGGCAGCACTTGACAACTAAGCAAGAACTCGGCAGTTGGCACCCACCCAGCGGGACCTTGGAAGAAAGTTCTGGTGGTGGACTGGCTCCCAAAGAGTCACAGCCTTGAAGACCCTACGAATTGGTTTCACTCTGCACACACAAGGCCGCCGGGAGTGGAAATCTAATCCAGGCAACTGCTCTGTTTCCTTTTTGGATACCACTTAGAGATCATGGAGATGATACAAAGAACCATTAGGCACTTCTTCTACATAAACCGGAAAATATTTGTGAACAAAAGAGGCCAAGTTAACTAGAAAACAAAACTCAGTAGCCTAACACGGCCATAGAAAGCAAGGAACTTCACTGACGCCGAACAACTTAGATAAAGCACTACGGAGCCTCAGGAAGGCCCGGGAGGCGCTGTGAGAGGCCACAGAGCACTCTGGAAGACAGTGACACAGAGCAGCACATGCCAGCTCAGGAATGACTGAATTCCAGCATGGTCACAATTAAGACCACATTCACTTTCAATGTTTAAATCCATTGCAGTCGTTGTAAGCGCCACTGTGGCACCCGGCTTCTCCTCATTGCCTGCCAGCCTGCCAAGTCTCCCTCATTGGGAGGTTCTGTCACACACCAGAGCCATAGCACGGGGGTCCAGAGACCTGCTGGCATTCCTGATCCATCTCTGTAGGTTTCAAAGCTCTTAAGAAGCCCCTAGTGCATCTCCTCTGACCATGGACCAGGGATGTGAATAGCCTTCCTAACATGCAGAATGCACTGGAAAGTGGATTGTATTGTTGCAGATGCAGTTAAGCTAAAATTTAGCAGCCTATCATTTTATCTCTTATGATCCATTTAAGCTTGTCCTCATTTTTAATATTTTTGCTTTCTTTGTTAGAAGTTATTTTTATCTGTTTTACTTTGTTATTCTTGTTTGTTTGATTTGTAATGTTTTTCTGTATATAAAATCCATGATAAGTAAATCTATAGAGACAGTACTGAGATTAATGGTTCCGTGGGGTTATGGCAGGGGAGGTTGGGGGGAATGGGGAGCTCATAACGATGAGTACAAGAATGAAGAAAATGTTCTAAAACGGATTGTGATGATTGTACAGCTCTTCTTGACGTGACTGAACGACTGACTTGCGAGATGTGTGAACTAGGTGCCGTTAACACTGGCAGGGAAGAGCCAGCCACCAAGCTCGAAGGCACACCTGAACTCTGGCCTGTGTGCACTCACTGCAGTCTGTTCTCGACGGCTACCTCACTGTGTCCTTTGTTCCTGGTGACCGTTGTTGGGTTGGCCCTCCACACCTGGCAACCCCACAAAACAGAACCGAAGGCTGTCCAGTCCTGTGCCAACCCCGAGACTGGCAGGTCAGAGGTCTTTGATACATGCAAACTTTACGAGCCCATTTTCAGAAGTAGATCGTCAGGCCTTCCTCCTAGTCTCTGTCTAGAAGCTCTGCTGAAACCTGTTCCGCATCATTGCAACCCACAGGCAAGGATGGCTTCTACCATGGAGTCACCGGGGCCCCTGCTCCTGGTCACCGCTGGTTAAATGTGAAGGAAGCATGCTCACAGCCACGGAATCGACTCTGACTCATGGTGACCCTACAGGACAAAGCAGAACCACCCCTGTGGGTCTCCCAGGCTGCAGCTCTGTACAGGAATAGGATGCCTCAGCTTTCTCCTGCAGAGGGGCTGGGTGTCAACTGCCGATGCCTAGTGTGTAAGTAACTCACTACGCTACTAGCGCTCCTGGAAAATCGGAGTGGTTCTTTGAAACAGTATCCTAACAGAACCATCTAGTTAAAGTAGCCAGTCAGCATCGGTGTCCACCTGGGACCTACTTCATTGGAGACACACATTCTCAGTCTTGTCACACATCTTGTCATGAGTCAGAAACTCATGTGTGGGGCCGTTACCAGTGTTTTCAGAGGCTGCCAGGTGATTCTGGTGCGCCCTGAAGATTGAGAACCACTGCCATCAAGCACGCAGGACTGCCAAGTCCAGGGTCCACAACCCCCAAACTGGTGCTTTTAAATCTTCACGGAGCTTCATAGGAGAAGGACTTTGGTTTACATGGGAAACCAGTCTTATCTTAGGGCAATGCAGACATCGGCTTTCTACTTGGGGTTTCTTACCTGGAGGAATATGAAGCCTATAGAGCAGTTTTATTTTTTCGTTCATTTCTCCATTGTACATGGTATCTGCAAAACATTTAAGATGAGAGGGAAACTAAGAAGATTCAAGTGGTCACAGTACACCTGTCAAAACCCCCTCCCCCCACCATGTCTGAAATTAGAAATTGTTGGCTTTCAGATTTTTAACCTATTCAAGATTTTATTGAGGTCAGAGCAGGGCAAACGAGGTGTTTCAGTCAGGTTGGGAGGGATCCTAGAGAACAGGGAGGTCCACAGATCAGGAAGACGAAATGAATAGCCAAACGGAGGCAGCCCGTCCCCCTTTATTGTAGGGAAGGGCAATCAACGGAAGGGGCCACAGGACAGAAGCCACAGACCTCCCTGGTCTCTAGACACGGACTACTGTGCAGCCCGGTAATGATTAAATCTTACATCAACTTGAACCTGAAAACTTGAAAGTAGGGATAGGGTCCGACTTGTCAATCAGATCACAGCCTGACTGTGCCTCCCTAGGGGTGTGGCCTTTTCGTGAGAGAGACACCGAGAACATCTCTCCCTTGCCCTTGCCCTTGCCCTGCGAACATCTCTCCCTTGCCCTTGCCCTGCCGGTTCGCTTGGATTCTGTGTCTGCTTCTAGGGAAGCCATGTGGGCTGCTAACCTCAGGGGCTATGTGCACCTTGACATGCTTACCAACCCTGGAGCCACACGACTCTGCACCCGCCGACCGATGATCTCCCTACATCCCGTGTTAGCTTTCTGTATCATTAGCCTGCAGAGGCTGAAGGAGGGTCCGGCTAGCATAGGACCCCTGGACTCATGCTGGACTGGGCAGGGAAGCCTTCATGATAGAAAATTACTTCTTGACACAACGTTCTTATACATATAGGAGCGTCACTGGTTTTGTTTCTCTAGACAACCCGGCCGAACACAGGTGCTGTCCGTTATCTATGGCCCACAGCGCTGTCAAGGACGACAACTAGAACAGTGTGCTGTGAGTATTACACAGCGCTCTGTGCAGTGCAGTTTCCTCCGCTACATCATCACTACACACGCAATACTGTAAATATAGGGGACTCAGATATTGTACAATGTCAAGAGAAATGAGTCTCACTTTTGTCTACTTTGATACTTTTCAGTGTTCCAGTGCCTTAACTCTTTGTTTAAAGCATGTTTTAAAGTTATGAACCTATTTTACTTTTCAAATGAAGGTAGCTTTACCACGCGTTTCCATGAGGAAATTCACGTTTTCAAGGCCAGTGCTTGGTGATGTTGAAGCTGCCGGGTAACCTTGTGGATTCTGTCTGGTCATATGCCTTTGGAAAGACCTCCGCTTTATGTCACAAGGTGAGGAACATGGCCCCTAAGGAGCCACACCAGCAGCCCTTGGGGGCCAAGGAGGTGGTCAAGGTACTCTGAGAGGCAGTCTCTGACCTGAGTCTTTCCCCATGCCCCTGGAGGAAGAAAGCATGAGATGCCCTCGAGCCACCTGCTGTGTGATCTTTCAGATCAGTTATACCTCAGGGGGCAGCGAAGGCATGGTCCTGGCGGAGGAGCAACTCAAGGAAGGCCATCAGTCAGTGAACGTGGGTGCAGAAACAGTGGAACTGGCATATGGGACTGTGTACATTCTCAACAACCAAAATGCAATCGAGAGGAGGGAAAACACGATCAGACCCATCAGGCCAGTCACAAAGGTGTCACACAAAGCTCTCTGCCGTCTGTCTGCTGACTCGTTCCACACCCCACAGCTGCGGAAGCCCCACAACGCCATACCTAGGCAGCCAACAAAGCCCTTGAACTCGATGAGATGGTCCATGTTGTCATCCAGGAGCCGGAAGGTCCTCTCTGCAAGGATCTTCGTGTGGGCCCCGCAGGTCCATGGCGAGACGAGCTTAAACAGGCTGGCAAACTGCTGGGGGTCTATGCGGTACTGCTCTGCGTAGGGCCTGCTGGGGTCGTGGCGCTGAAGCACGGGGCTGGGCTGCTCCCAGTAGCAGCTCATCAGGTGCTCTCTCTAGGAAACAAGAGGGGGAAAGGGGTCACTGAAGCCGGGACAGGAGGTGAATGCACAAGACTAACAAAGCCCTCCCCCTCCCCTTGCTTCTGCCTCTCAGCAGAATGACCCCACAGGATGACACCAACAAGGGGGCACGTGAAGATGGCTCACAGTGCCTCGGTGCCAGCCACACAGATGGGACACCTTCCGTTACCTCGTAGAAATGAGTCGGGGTCCCCACGTCAAGGTGACAATGTCCATGGCGGAAGAGACACTGTTTTATCTGATCACATCAATGTTGTGGTTGGGGGCCATCAAGTTGATCCGACTTAGAGTGGCAGGAGAGGACAGGAGAGACCCTCACGGAGCAGACCACCAGGTCTTCATTTGTGACCCAGTGGGAAGCTGGACCATCAGCCTTGGGTTAGGGGCCATGTGCTCAACCACTCCGCCACCAGGGGTCCTAAGTGTCAGGAGAACCCTATTTGGGAAGCAAACTACAGGCACTGAAGCAAACAGTTACCTGATTATGTACCCTGGGATTCTGATCGCCTGAACTGTACAAGAGAGACTGCTTTTATTCTGGCTTTTAGAGTTGCTGTGTGTCAAATAATATCTCATAAATATCCACTCCTAAAAACCCCAGACACATGATACATTTTCAAGTTGTGTGTGTGTGTGTGTGTGTGTGTGTGTGTGTGAGAGAGAGAGAGAGAGAGAGAGAGAGAGACACAGACAGACAAAGGGGCATAAATCAGGGAAGATATTGGTCCCATTATTAGCCAGAGTTACCTGCTCAAGGGGGACTACAAAGGCTAGGATTAGGCCCTTTCATTTCTTACTTTAAAAGTTCCCTTTCTGAAATAAACTTTTGTTTTGTGAAGAGCTTTTGTTTTTATTTTTTGAAATGTTAATAATCGACAAACTTACTTGGTTTCATGTCTTTCAGTTAAATTTTTTAAATAAAAGTATTTCTATTTTCAAAAGCTAGAAGAGAAAAGAAAAGGCTTACCCAAAAATAAAGCACGTAAAATCCTATTATAAGGGAAAGCCACTGCCCTCTGGGGCATCACAATGATGCCAGATGCTTCAAAGTGGTTTAACTGACCACTCACAGGGCTATGCTTACTATGCACAAAAGGCACTGCTGGTGCAAGGGAGGTGTGGCCAGGAGTCATTTCTGCCACTGAGCCTGTTTTCATGCTGTCCAAATCCGACTTGGAGAATAAAGTGAAAGAAACTACTCTTAATTTCCAAGAGGATGAACCACCACATATCAGATTTCATGTAATTTAAAAATGACATTAACAGTGAAAATGCATGTCAGGAAGCTCTAATCACAGTGCACGTCTAACAGGAGAGTATTTAAAGAAGGCAACGGAATGGTTTCTTGGTAGCATGAAGAATGTTCTTGTCTGTGCAGGCTCATCTTAAAGCCACATGGAAGGTTGCTAGGGCACAGTCTTCTTATTAAGAACCCATTACACCCAGTCTTTTTAAAACCTTGAATGGAAACTAGTCCCTGAGGTCACCTCTTAAATAACAGGCTCACAAAATTGAAAAATTTAAAGATCATCTGTATGAGATCAAATGGCCAACAACTACTTTAAAACAAACATGAGAATGTAAGGGGGGGCAGGGAAACTAGATGAAGAGAAATGGAGCAATCAGAAGGGAAATAACGAGCACTCGCTGCGAAGACCGTAAGCAGTGTCACTGAACCACATGTGTAGAAACAAACCTTCACCCCAAACATAATGAAGTATTATTTGAAAAGCAGAAAGAGGACCCACTGTACAACGTTCACTGCAACACTACTTGCGATTCTCCAAAGGTGGGATCAATGGATGGGTGGATTCACAAAAGATGGTCCAGAATATTACTCAGCTGTAAAGAGATATGACGTTCTGATACCTGCTCCAACATGAACCATAAAAGCGACATGTGGAATGGCATAAGTCAAGTCACCAAATGTCACATGCTGAGAATGGAATGTCTAGACCAAGCCCGGAGCCATGGCTGGGGGGCCAGGCACAGAGTGTCTGTGAGGGGGGCTGGCACAGTGGGTAACAGAGAGGAGGGTGGTGGTGCTGGCACAACAGGAAGGTAACCAGTGTTGCTGTGTTTGCATACAAAGCAGGTTGAAATGGCAAAAGTCTTATCAGACACATTTTGACCACAGTAAAACATTAAGAAACAACCTACACATCATTATAAAACATCAGAAGCATTTCTACTTGGCCCTTTGCCTTGTGAAAAGGGACTCCTGATTCAACAAACTCAATCAAAACTTCACCGCCAGCCAAGGTGATGCTGGCGCACAGCGACCCTGGAGGACAGGGTAGAACCGCCCCCGTGGGTTTCCGAGACTGTTTCTCGGAGCCACTAGTGCTTTCGAACTGCTGACCTTGTGGTTCGCAGCCAATGCGTAACCCAATATGCCACCAAACCCAGAAACCAATCTCACTGCCATCAAGAGTCAATGCTGACTGATAGCGACCCCAGGTAGGTTTCTGAAATGGTGACTGTGTACGGGAGGGAGCAGAAAGTCCGGCTTTCCTCCTAGACATGATACCTCGGCACACTTCAGCAGGTACTGAAATACACCAAGTCCTCCTGGGGCAGCTCAGGAGCCAGAGAACTGTCGGGGGAGGGGATCTTCTGCGAGCCTGTCCTGGGGACACAATGCTGGAGTGGAGCTGGATGGGACCCAGGTACCAGGTGGGTGTCATCAGGTCGGCACCTGGCTTGTACAAACCAAAATTGACCACCTGGTTATTTTGCTTGCGTTTCCGTTGGAGGTATACCTGAAAAAAATCTTGCCTTTATAGGGTTTTGGGGTTTTTGTGGAGTTTTCTTTTGTGTGTATGTGGTTATTTATTTACATTTAGACTTAGCAGGAGAGCACTAAATAAATGAAAGGCCTGTCAAGCTTCAAAACACATCGTCTCCCTGCTCTTACGACTCCTAGAACCGCCTTATTTTTCCTCCTTGAAGGCCCAAGAGAGTGGGAGGGTCGGACACCTCCTAACCTTTGACTGTAGGCTTGATCTTAATGCGACAGAGGAAGCCATAGAACTTGTAAACAGGTAACGGTAATGGGAAGCATGGGCCTGGGCAGCTCTTGCCCCACCCGCATCCTGCTTCCCCCAGATGAGGAAGGCCAGGAAATACTAAGCCAACAGCCGTGCGGAGGCTGCAGAGCAATGTGCCACCCCGCGTACACGGACTTGCCAAAGCACGAGACTCTGCTCTCGGGACCAGGAGTGCTGCCTGTTTTGACCCTGGTGATTTTGGCAAGGTGAACCCAGGGTGAGAGAGGCTCCAAGTTACCCAACTAGGCAGAGCACGACTTCTTCTTTTTCCATCCAGAACAGTTCATTTGTTTGTATTGTGGTCAACAGAGAGCACATGCCATTTCAGTGATCTTCACACAGACAGCTCAGTGACTTTAAGCATGTTCTCCATGCTGTCCCTCCATCACCTGGATGTTTCTCCAGTCAACACTGCTGCTCCTTCCTGCCAAGAGCCCTAGGAAGATATGTGCTGGGCCAACTGCAAGGTCAGCAGTTCAAAACCAGCCAATGCTGCTTAGGAGAAAGGTAAGGCTTTCATCCTGTCCAGATTTAGAATCTCAAAACCTATAATCACAGCGCTAACCCTATCCTATAGGGGGTTCACTATGAGCCAAGTCAACTTGATGGCAGTGAGTTTGTTTTAGGGACTTCCTGCTTCCCTGGCAGATATAGACACGAGATCCACGGGTCTGCTTCTCTACTCTGTTTGTATTTACTGTGCCAAGCAAGTCAAGTTCTGATCACCCTGCCTTGCAGGGTGACGTGGGAGCCCAACTAAATCCTTAGCCCTTAGGATTATGGCTCACCACCCTGACCCAAGTAACAAGTGATGAGGTTATTTTAAAACTGGGGAAGACTACATAAGCAACAGGGGAGAGCACCAAAAACAGTGGAAAGGAAAAACCGAGTAAACTGGCAGGCAAACTGTGGGATACGAAAAGGCTTTTCCCCTGGGGTTTCCCATAGTGTAAACCCAGTCTAGGACCTGCTGGCCAGGGCACTGTGAAGTCAGCTGCTTAGAAGTTATCGCCCTGAGGGTATCAGCCATCTAGAGCAGCGGTTCTCAACCTTCCTAATGCCAGTGACCCTTTCATACAGTTCCTCATGTTGTGGTGACCACCACCACCCCCAAACCATAAAATTATTTTCCTTGCTAACCTGTGAAAGGGTCATTCTACTCCCAAAGGGATCATGACCCACAAGTTGAGAACTGTTGAGCTAGAGCAATCAAGACACTATTGTCTGTCCCACCAGAGGTGGGGCCAACACCCTACTGATAAAGATAGTGATTGCTTCCCTGAAGGCGAGCCCAGAGACAAGGTCAAGCCTACTCAAGGAAGATCAGGGTTAGGCTGCCATCTAGAATCAGCCCAACTTGTCACGTGTACCCCTAGACCCTCCCCTTCCTACTGTGTGTACACCCCTAGAGCTCACCCCCTTCCTGTCATGCGTATGGCTATTGGACAGCCCCTTCCTGTTATGTATGTGGTTACCTGTAATCAGGGGGGCTTGCACACCCCCCTACATATATATATATATATATATAAACCTTGGTTAGAAATAGACTCTCTCTCTGTGGCTGCATGAGATCATGGCCATCCCAGAGGTGAGCATGTTACCATGAAATGTCTGATTTCTTTATCTTCTCTCCTATCTTCTATGAATTTACTATAGTCTTTATATACTATAACCATACAATTGCACCTACGGAGGCTCCCCCCCCCCTCGGTTGTTAAGAGGCTGGTTTACTCTGACAGCATACCAAGCCACACAAACAGAACCATGTGTACAGCCATGTATGGCGGGGAAGGATTATGAGTAGTGAAAAATATATTAGAGTGCTATACATTTTAATAGAGGTCACTCTTCCATCTGCAGAGGGCAATGCAGGAAGTATGGCCTCTTAGAGCGCAAGCTGAGCGCCCGTGGGTGCCACGCCTGCCAGGCCACCACCCAGCTTCCTCCCTCCCTGATGCTAGGCCGAGGCCCGGTTGCGGCTGGATGCTCATACCCAGAAAACTGCCGAGAGAGCGGCACGGGTCTGCAGCTTCTGGAGAGAAGCGGGTAGCCATGGGTAAGGCAGAGCTGGCCAGCGTGCGCAGCTTCCACCCCTACTGCCACCGGGCAAGCACAGGCTCAACCCTGCGGGCCTTTGTGTGCTCTGGGCCCGGTGCCTCCCTCACCTTCCCGGCCTCCCATACCTTGAATAAGTTGTACAGCTCTTCTAAGTCTTCAGGAAGAAGAGAGACTTCTGGGATGACAACGCGGAGCTTTGGGAAAGAACAAACAGTGAGCCAGCGGATTCTGGCCTGGCCCCGCAGAGGGATGAAGGGAGGCAGGCAGCTCGCCCTCCGGTGGCCCCACTCCGCCGTGGAGCGGGCGCCTTGTCCACCGGCAAAGCTTCCTGTCCTTTCTGACGCCAAGAGGGCTGGGCAGTGTCTTCCCCGGGTTTCCTCCTCCACCTTTCTAGTTCCCCAGTTTCCGGTCCAGTTCACTAGGTTCCCGCGGGAGGGGAAAGCTGGCGAAGATGCAGCTTGGCCAGGTGGCCCTCTGATTCCTGCACGGTCGGTACTGTCATCCCACTGCACAGACGGGGAAACTGAGGCTCAGTTCTCTCACACTCCGTCTGACTTCCGTAACCGAGCTTTTTGCCCACCCAGGCAGCTCTCTTAAGGTTTTTAACTCAAAGGGAGAAGAGCTGCCATTCTTGCGGCACGTGACCAGAAGGGAAAGACGCACCGCACTGACGCACGCACGCACGCCTCGCCCGGTGGACGCCCGCCGGTCTCCGCGCTCACCACGTTCTGCCTGGTGGTGTCCTCGTGGCCTTGGAGAACTCGGATCCTGTGCTTGCAACGCAGGTGCTCTATCTGCTCCACAGACTGGTCTCCGAATTTCTGCAGGGACACAGGGCTGGCCCCTCACTTACAGGCTTCCCTCTGGGTGAAAACAGAGGACCCAGACGCCCCCGGAAGGGTCCCTCGAAGCCCCTCTGCCACCAGTGCCCTGCAGGGTCGGAGGGGGGTGGGGGTGGGGAGCAAGTCACCTCGTAGGAGTCCCGGATCAAGTCAGCGATGTCGGTGACGGGGTAGGGCTCCTGGTCGTCGGAGAAGAAGGCGTGGTAGCTGCCAACCGAGGGCCCGGGGCTCTCCTCGTTCTTAATGTGGTCTAGAAACCTGAGCACAGCCAGTGCGTCAATGCCCGGTCCGGGTCAGCCTGGCCCGGGAACCGCACGGCCCCTCGGACCCTGAATGGGGCCTTTGCCCATTTCTAAGCCTGGCACACACGCCACACAAGGAAGACAAGCCAGCAATTAACACCCTCATTTGAGGGAAAGGGCGACTCGGCCATTCAGCCAGACTGGCCAGTCCAGTTGGTGGCTCTGCAGTGAGATAACGCCGAGATAACCTGTGCCTGCGCGAGAGACTTCCAGCTCCCGCCATTCTTAAAAAGATGCTGCTGTTCCGCAGGGCCAATTCAGAGCAAACCCACGCTCAATAGAGCACAACGCCGCCTTGCCC